AGAATTTGTCCAGTCGTGAGGCACCTGTCGTTAAGTGTGTAGACTGACTCAGTCATTAGGTGTGTGCTCCTCTCTGACTGTCAAAGAATCTGCTCCAGTCGATGGTGACGGTCTTTTAGTGTGTTGAAGTCAGAATGTTTCTGCTAGTCCTGTAGTGACCATTGTAATAAACAATGCATTTTTAAATCATTTAACCCAGGGTTGTCCAACGTCGGTCCTGGAGAACCCACACAGCCCTGCAGACTTTAGCTCCAACCTTGATAAAAACTCACCTGCCTGGCTATCTAGACCTTGATTGGCTTTGTTTGATTAGGGATGGAGCTGAAGTCACTGTGGCTATCGACCAACGTTGACTACTTCTGGTTTAACCGAATTAGGCTAACTGGTTAAAATTCTTACTGTCTGTTTACAGTTTACCAGTTAAGCTGCGACCAGTGGCGTAGCTAGTAAGCCTCGGGCCCATATGCCAAAAAATTGTACGGGCCCCCCCAAATATTATGGGCTCCAACTCGGTTAACTCAACTTAGGCCCTATTGTTGATTTTTCTGAAGTAAATAACGTTTAGTGAATCGTGACTATTCACAAGCTGTTTTATTTATGGTATAGGCTAATGCTTGGAAATGATTAAAGTTTTCAAGTCCATTCATTATTTGTAGCATGCAAGTCACTCAAAAATCGCAGCTTTGTGCTTTGTTACTACAAAGTCTCAGACTTCTGTCAATTTTATGATAAAATACAAACAATAAACGTCTTTTTACGCTCTTTAATTTGTAGTGCGATAATTCGCCTGAGTTCTAGCTGCATATGAATCAATAATATTTTCCTCTTTAATATGTGTGTGACATGGCGCCAACGATGATGGCAGACTCCGTGGCGTGCTCTGCAGTTGTTTTTATGTTTTTGTTAGTTTGTCCTGTCTTTAGTTATATCCCTGCAATCAGTTTCACCAGAGACGAATTGCTGGACATTCGGCAGTACACACTACCCGATATTTCACTGGTTTTAGATTATTCTGATGTTTTGCTGGACATTGTAGCTGGGGGAGCAGCGGCGCTGTTCAGATGCTTCAGGACGTGCAGACGGGGGAAGCGAGCTGGCGCGCTTGTGAAGCTCAGTCAGCGCGGATTCAGGACGCCATTGCCTAGCATCCATCTGGCGAACCTCCGCTCTCTACCCAACAAAACGGACAAACTCCCTCTGCTCTCCCGGACAAATAAGGATTTTTCAAACTCTGCTGCTTTGTGTTTCACGGAAAAATATAATATAATATAATATAATATAATATAATATAATATAATATAATTGTTATTATATTCGAGTTGTCTGGAATGCAGCATTAGGTTAACATTTCAATAAATGAGTGTGTACTACAATTACGAGCCATTCTTTAAGGTAACATTTCAGCACTTGGCAAACGGATAGCGACTCCTAAGTAGCACTTAAAGCACGGCTACGTGCGATTGCATTAAGTGCATTTTTGGGAAACGCACATGAAACAATAACGAACGTTTGTAAAATGACTCTTAAGCTCTAAGATCAATCATTATCGAGAAACGCAGCCCTGTCCAACACTAAACTCACGAGACATCACTGTCCGAATCGGTTTATAACAAATAATTTACTCAGAACACCTCAGAAATGAGATCGTAAGTGTGTTTGCCCCATTTAGAGTGGTTAGTAAGATTTAGCCTTAATAAATCACAGTATTTTCATGTTATTTATATGACAAAGTGTAGTAAATGACCTATAAAATAATTTAGTTTACACTGGAGTGAAGTGAAACCAGACCAAAGCACAAAGCAAGTTGTTGTTATCTAGCTCCTAATTTTATTCAATTGTATATTAGCGACTCCTAAGTAGCACTTAAAGCACGGCTACGTGCGATTGCATTAAGTGCATTTTTGGGAAACGCACATGAAACAATAACGAACGTTTGTAAAATGACTCTTAAGCTCTAAGATCAATCATTATCGAGAAACGCAGCCCTGTCCAACACTAAACTCACGAGACATCACTGTCCGAATCGGTTTATAACAAATAATTTACTCAGAACACCTCAGAAATGAGATCGTAAGTGTGTTTGCCCCATTTAGAGTGGTTAGTAAGATTTAGCCTTAATAAATCACAGTATTTTCATGTCATTTGTATGACAATGTGTAGGTAGTAAATTACCTATAAAATCATTTAGTTTAGACTGGAGTGAAGTGAAATCAGACCAAAGCACAAAGTTGCTGTTATCTAGCCGCTAATTTTATTCAATTGTATATGGTAGAAAATTATACTATTAGTTAAATACATTTTTAATGCTACTTTTTTAATGGTACTCTTTAATATTGATATAATTATATACCAAAATAATTATCAGGTCTAGCAAAAAAAAGCATCTTATCTTACAAAGCTATGAAGGCCAGTGAAAAAAATCGCAGCTTTTTTTGCAAAGAGGGCAATTAAAGTTGACAGTGAGAGAAGCCTAATTTGGAAGAGGTTGTAAAACTGAATAATTCTCAGCCACAGTCTGGAAGAAAATGGGGCCAAAAATAAATAAATAAATAAAATAAGCAACCAAGTGTAATAAATCACCAATTCTTTTTTTTTCTAACTACTTTGGTAATGGTAATGTTTACATCTGTCCTGACAGGGATTGTTTTTATTTAATTAATAAATAGGATAAGCAAAAATCACAAACTGTTTCTTTGTATTTATTTTAAACTTATTGTCAGTATTGGGATAACGTGGGTAGGGAACTTTTTACTGTGTGTATGGATGACTATCAGCCACTACCGAAAACCATTTTTGACCCAGGAAAAACCATATGATCTGCACCTGCATACCCTGCATACACAGACGCTATGCCACTGGCTGGGACCACACTACAGACTAGCAGAAACATTCTGCCAAACCACAAAAAAAA